GTTGTTTTAGAATCTTTTAAACGTGATATTCGTCATCAGGAGCTCAAGTTGTACTAGTCCTGTTACTCTCGAACAATCCGGATAAAGTCGGTGTAAAGCCTGGTACGCTCTCGAAAGAATCACCCATACCTCTTCCTTGTCTAGCATTAGAAGCTCGAGCCACACTGAACCAAATTAGATACAAATTGAGTGCCAGATATAAAACTTCTCGGTGAATCCGACAGCGGGTTCCTAGTAATTATATTCTGAGTTTTTCTCTGGTGTCGACACAATCAATGTGGTTTTTGAAAAAGGCGCCAATGAGAAGAATAAAATGTAGGCAAAAACCACGTAGATTATGCTGACGCCGAAGAAGAAGTCAAAATGAAATTAAAAGGAACTCGCTGATTTTCTAATAAATTTTCAAGAAAAACTAATTTTTTAAATCCTGAAATATTTTAATCATTTCTGTATAAAGTTGGATAGGCCAAGAATGTAAACAGCTGATGATGGTGATTTCTTACGCTTTATTCAACTAAGATATCATTAAAGGTTATACAGAAAGGGTTACTGCAAGGCTAATATTTCAAAGATTGAATAAGAGCTTGTAACGTTATGGCATTTCTTAGTTATTTCACAAACCTTCGTTTAAACTGTTATTTTGGGAACAACAGGAAGCGTTCTAGACAATGGTAAGTTGCCTGAATGTATGAGTGAGATTTCGTTTTTGTTATTTTTTGCCAAATTTTCTGTAAACTGAGATTTTAAAAGTTCTTGAAACCTCACTGGATCATTCTTTCAAAAGTTTATTGTAAGATATTCATAACGATTACCTTTTATTTTTCTATTTAGATCACAAAAAAATTTGTCATTGATACTTATGAAGGTATTTTGTCTTTTTTCTCCTCAAACATTAAACCAACAGTAGTTCATGAAACTGTGAATCAACACTCATCTTTTTTATCCTCCGTATAACTTTCTTTCTCTTGGCGAGACTCTTTTTCTTATCATACTTGTGCAACTTATTCGGTACAGAAGACAGTCTATTAAAATTTTCGTCCACAATGTGGATGAACTAGCCCCGATTCAGGACATGTAGCACAGAATCTTTTATTTTCTTCAAAAGTCATGAATGGTTTATGCATACCTACTGGTCTATCATAATAAATTGATTCGACGGAAAATGTTCTTGCCACTTCAAGAGGTGCAACAGTACCATTGACGAGATGAAAGTGCATACTGTACCAAACGTCTTCTGGCACAGAACCATCATATGGCTTCAGTTTTAGTAATTTCATTGACAGAGTTTTGTTTCTTAGAGAAAAGCCTCCATTTCCAACCGATACAGGTAAGTTAAACTTTTTGTGCCACGGTGCACCAATAAAGTCCCACCGAAGATAATCAGTAATTTTGTGTGGTGTATTTGAACAAAACAATGTGTCCATCTGAAAAAAGAGAACTTTTTCGCCGATAACTTTTTGCCAAAATGATATGTTTGTTAGCATCCAGTTTGTCCATGCACTTCCACTATACTGCTTACCATAGGCTGCTGTTTCGTTTAAAATAATTTGTCCCGATTTAATATATTCGGATAACGAAGAATTGCGTAAAAATTCAGCGTTTTCACTACCATGGAATACTTGTATTGGCCAATCCGATGGTAAATGGTGGCGAACATTCAGAATCGTGTATATCAACATATCATCGCTTCGAAAATCAAATGTCACTGCTGAATAGAAGGAAGGTGGTTTTGTGGGGGTTATCGTTGTAGTAGACTGAACTTGAACTGTAACAGGTGGTGAAGTTAAATGATTGGCATACAATACAAACAGCAAGAGGATACAAAATGCGATTGTGAGTATTGATGCACGTAAATATAGCATCATCTAGAAAAGTAAACGTTATTGAGAGCATATTCTGTCTAACCTTGAAATATTGTTTACATCCATCTGGAACTTAGAAAGGTTCTCTTTTTAGCCATCTAAAATAGCTTGACCTATTCAACAGAGTGATGCCATATTATACCACTGATCGTGCTGTGAAAATTGTATGTCCACAATCCCCGCAACTAGATCTAAATACCAATGTCAACATCAACGAGTACATTTCAGTATTTCGATATCTCTACAGCTAATAGAAATTTCGATCTTAACTGACAAAACAGATTACATAGATTTAAGAGTGAACAAAATTAACGGTGCACTTCAAAACGAACTAGTTGAGTTTCAAACGGAAGAAAGCGATATGTATATATCCAAATTTTCTAAGCAGCACTAATAAGACGAGACTGCGGTTATGGAGCCATTACACAGCATCACTGTTCGTCACTCTACTTGGGTCAAGTCTAGCAGACCAGTCTGTCTTTTGATTGCAATCGAACTATTTATCAAGAAACTGCTGAACAACTATATTAGCGTGTTCGACGAAGACCTGTGGTGCCTAGAACGTACATTTTACTTTTAATAGTACAACATTTTTCATCAAGATAATTTATGCATGAACTACGTTTAGTGTAGAAGGCTTCCACGATAAGACAGTGTACGATATGACGGCGCTAGTATTATTCACATAATATCTAGACACTATACACATACACGTGTTAAGACGTTGCTATGTAATGCCATCACAACTTCAGTCTGATCTTCCAGGCACTCTTTCGAGGGATATTTCGAGTACTCAAATATTCAGATTTTCGATAGGCTGCGCAACATCCAAAAATTTTCCAGCCCTCGAATAGAGATGTTCGGGATTTCTGAGAGCTAAACACATCCCTTTGGATAAACTTTTCTGTCTGCTTTCTCTTATTATCAGTGCTCAGAAAATCTAGATTTATACATTCCGCTTCCTTCCGTTTAAAACTCAACTAGTTCGTTTTGAAATGCATCATTATCTTGTTCACTCTCAAATCTATGTAGTCTGCTTTGTCAATTGGGATCGAAATTTCTATTAGACTTAGAGATATTGAAATATTGAAATGTACTCGTTGATGTTGAAATGGATTTTAAACTCAACTAATTGTAATTTAGATTTTGTTTTACCTAGTTTTTATTGAAATTTCTATCTAACTAATTTCATTTTAAAAAAGGTGTTTAATAGCTTAACCTTTTATCCCCAGCAACTGATCATACGAAACTCTTGTAATGAATTGTTAGTTTATAGCACGGTTGTTGCACTAACTTGTCATAACATGGGAACGTAATGATAATTTGACATCTACAGTCGAAAAACAAAAGTTTTAGCTGGCAAACAAAAAGGAGAAAACTTTTAGGCATAACTCGAGTACGGGTACAACGTTCTCGGGTCGGGTCGGATACGAGTGGAAAAAAAATTTGGGGTTAGTTATCGGTACGAAAATGTTACCTGTGCACTTCTCTACTTGAATAGAAACTGATCGGTCATAGCTAGGCATGCACCAGTTACGGCTAACTGTAAAACTGTAACTGTCATAGCTATGCAATTGTTAAGAATGTCCCTATTCGTAAAACGTATGCAAATCGTAGACGGTTAACTCACTCTAGAATATTTGCCTACGGTTATGAGCAGTTAAAGAAAATTGACTCGAGCCATTTTCTACAGGAAAATTTCCTCCTGATTCGTTTTTCCAAGAACAGTTCTTCAATCCTCTCATGTGAAGTAATGTTCTACTTAGAATATTCTCAAATCTCTCTCTTCTAGTACATAACAAATATAATAAACATCGTCATAACAATTCCAAGTTGCACATGGCTGACTCATAAGTGACTCGAGTCAGTTTATCAAGTTTATTGAGTCTCTTACCCCGAGTTCGAGTCCGAGTCAAACTCAAATGCGACTCGGACTCGCCCATCTCGGGTTTCAAGTCACCATTTGCATAATAGGACTTTAATCAACCAGAGTTAACCGTTTTACGATAGTTTGATCGCAGGATGTTTTATTGATGTATGGTGTAGTATCCCATCAGATACAACCATGCAATAAACCAGCAGTTCATTATAAGAGTTTCGTATGATTAGTTGCTGAGGATAAAAGGTTAAGCTATAGGTGACTTGCAAGACTTTAGAGAGCAAATCATCATCCATCTGATTTCAGCATCCTCTGGGCGGTGTGTTTTTTTTCTAAATGACGCATCTAATGGGATACTTAGGTTTTTTATCAGACCGGCGGTTACTCAGGGCTGGATATTCACCTCTTTCCATACCCGTGCTGGTTATTTTTTTATAAGTTGGTGATAATGTGGAAGTTAAGGTTTAAATTATTTGTGTAACCTCATAACTAGGGGTGGCAGTATTACTATTACTCATGTATTACATTACCGAGGAAAGTAATACTAAAAGGTATATATTAGTGTTACTGGTAACAGTAATCTTCCATGTATTCCTATTACTAGTAACAGTAATACAAGCGGTATTAGTGTTACCAGTAACAGTAATATTCATAAAACTAGTGTTACTTTTCAGTAAAGTAATACAAGATACGACGACGAATACAAGACGAAATAATATGATGGTTTCGTATTGATAGTGGCGCCCTACTGAATTTTTTTTTCTTGTATTACTTTACTGAAAAGTAATACTAATTTTATGAATATTACTGTTACTGGTAATAGGAATACTGTTCAGTATTACTGTTACCAGTAACAGTAATATATACAATATTTGTATTACTGGTAACAGTAATAGTAATGTGCCACCCCTACTCATAACAATGTTTTCTAACTGTTTCCAGAAAATGGTAGTTGTATACTGTATAGATCAGGTTTTACGTCCAAAACTCGATCCGAAATTAGTCGATATTTTAAAAATTGCGTATCTCAAAAACGAGTAATAAAGGTGTATCTTTCATTCTGTTGGCCTATTCATCGTTCTTTAAATATCCTTGTTCTAATACTTAGTTTTATGACCATGTTCTACGTGTTATACCGACATGCTTTTTCAGTGCTGTTCAATTTAAAGATTGAGATATTGCATGCTCAGCTGATATGCAGACTTTTTCGATCGATAATGAAGAATGACACAATTTAATAGAATAAAAAATGAAGTTGAAAATTCTGTTTTTATACATAAGGTTATAGAAGTTACGTCTGACCTCCGAAACAGCCGTTGTATGACATTAAATGTGTTTGCACTCTTTGACTCTATTTATTGATCTTACACAAATAGCGTCAACCGAGAGAGCCTCTTAAAATTGAACATGTATACAACGGCTTGTTCAGTGGCCTGACGTAACTTCTATAACCCTATGAACACGTATACGAGTATAGTGTCTAGATATTATG